AGAAGCTTCAATTCACACTTTTTCCATTTGTTTTGCTTTCACACTCCAAACAAGTAAGTCTCATTGCATTGTCATCCTCACTCCCAATGTATGGATAAATATAGAGGGAAATAATTACAGGGAGGAAAATAAGATTTGCATTTAAACACACAATTCACATATTGAAAAGCCTCCAGTGCTTGCTTATCCACTACAGATCAACTGCAGAAAAGGTCATAGCTTTATTAGAAGCATAATTTAGGAATCCTGTAAAAACATTTAGGATTTAACCCCACTTACTGAATGACCAACATATAGCAATTAAGTCATGTGTGAAATTGAATCCAACCCTGAGGAATATTTATATACATATTGTTTTAAACCCTGTCAGAAGGTTTTCCAAGAAACTGTATGCTAAAGGATCAAAGGCAGTTTAACCAACCCAGCTCCAGATTGCCAGCATCCTATCCTAAATCACCTTGGTGTTCATAAAACATTCAAATGTATTTATCATAGCCCATTTCGAAAAACCCATTTGTCCAGTAAAAGGTTATTTAAATTTTATTTTTTTAAAGATTTATTTATGCATACAAGAACTGGGGTGTAAGCCAGAGGTGTAGGGAAGGAAGGTGAGCGGATTCGCCAGAGAGAGTGGGGACCAGAAGAGGCAGATCTACTGAAATACACTGCTGAGGGGAGCAGTGGCCATGTCAGGAGAGGTCTGCTGTGCCATGTGGATTGCTCCCTGGTTGGCTGGGGATCAAACTAGTGCTGCAGTGTCTGGCGATAGCTTGATAGCTCGTGCTGTCTTTCACCCCTGCTCCACCAGGGAGGCCTTTGTTTAAATTTTGCTGTGTACTATTCACTATGTACACAGCCATCCCTTCAACCAATTGCATGGTGTCCTGTGTGTCAGTGTCTGCTGAGGACCTCCTACTGCAGCAACATTTCCACTTTGACTCACCTCATTCAGAGGGAGCCACTGGCAGAACAAACTGCTTCCTTAGCCCAGGCTCCTTATATCTTACCAAGTTTGGGGCCAAGAGTGTGGATGACCTTGGGAGTCCATCAAAACTAATATAAGAATTATCAAATCACAATCTCATGAGCCAAGGTAATGTTTCCATCCAGGGGAAAATAAACAAGAAAGCAAAAACTGAGAGTTGATTCTTCTCACTGAATCAGATCATGAAATCCAGTTTTCAGTATAATTTCTTATTCATTTGTTAGTTTGCAATACTTCCCCTGTCCTTAGCAATACTTAAACTGATTGTATCCAAAAATAAATTGAGTTAGATATGGCTTAACTATTTAAATGTTTATAATTAAGCTAGTCTTTAGTTACAGTGGTGATTTTGCTTGCAGACGCTGTTAACATGCCTATGATTCTTGCTTACAGTCACTCCACCACAGAGAAAATGTGTATCAAATGCAAAGAGAGTAAACAGGAAGTTAAATTTAGATGTTTTTAAGATGACCTCTATTGACTATCAAGACTTTTCAAACCAAAGTCTAGTCATTTAGCCCTGGACTTTGCAAAAATGAAAAAAAGCTTCTTTGAACTTCTCAGTGGGAAATGATGAAAATATAAGTAATCTGTGGTCATGAACAATTAGCACTTGGAAGTGTGTATTTTAAGTATAAAAAAATTAAAAATCACCCTTAATCCCATCATTCAAATATCACAAGTCAACATTTCATTCTAATTTTTTCTCTATTTTTTTAAGACAGTAACTAGGCCCTTTGAAAGCTCAAGATTTATTTGTACCATTTATTCAAGACGTTTGTCCCCTACTCTCCAGGAAAATAATTTTCTATCATGTTCCTGTCTTTGTGACACATTCATGCCCTTCAAAGTCAACTGAAATTATTGACTGAAAAGTCAAATTACTTTAGCCTCTCTGCTGTTTGAAAGATAAATTTTTTAAATAAAATTAGAGATCAACAAAGCTCCCTATCATTAGCCTGCCCTTCCTTTTTCCAAAGGTGATTTAGGTATTCTCAGTTGATAGTTCTTACCAGATGGTACACCTCAAGGTATGTGCAGTGAAGGGTCAAGTTGAAGACATATCAGCTCTCCATCTGTTTTATGGCCTTCCTGGTGTTAGAGATTTGTTTAATGATCAATAGTGGTTTCTATTCCTACCACTGAATCTTTCAGAAGGTAGCATAACCAAGTCAATGTTTAACTGAATTCTTTTGGTCTGAACTGAAAGTAGGAGGTAACGGAAAGTCTCCATGGAAACCAGCCTCCCAGGAAGTGACCACTGGGGTTAGTATGTGTGAAACAGAGCTAGAAAGATGAAATGAAGGAAGTGACTGCTTTCAAAGTGGGGTATACGTAAGAAATACCTTGATTAAAACAAGCTACAGGAAAGGCCCTAAAATCACTTCCCTGATGGTTTCCCTTTGAAAGTGTTCAATGAGAAATGGGCCTGAATCATTCTAAGGCTCACCCTAGGGTGACCAAAGTAGCACCTTTCCAAAATAAAGAGGGAGAGACTGCCATGGCTGACCCTGTGGACTTTGCATTTAATCAGAATCTGGAAGAAAAGAGTTCGTTTTCGCTTGCAAGACTGCAGGACCGGAATAAAGCTTTGGAAGGGCAGCTGCCGCCACTACGAGATACCTGGTATGGAAGACACTCTGCAGGTAACCACGAGGCCCAGCATGAGATTTGTGTATTTGAGCTGAGGAGAGCTATTGATAGATTTACTTGCCTGTCTCCCTCATCTCCAAAAATATATTAAAAATAAATAATAAATAAATAAATAAAATGGCTATGAATGGGAAAAAAAGGAAAGTTTCTAAATCATTGAAAGGTGAGGGAACGTTTTTTTCAGTGGGAGACTGAATGTCTGTCCATTGTAAGTATTCTGGGTACATTGAAAAGGATGTGTAAACTGTGGGAAAGGGCTTTTCACCATTTCACTTAGAAGGGAAAATTTTCTTTGTGTCAGCTTAGCTTAGAGTGCTTTCAATGTATCTAGCAATGTGTGTACCTGGCCAAATGATGAATCTAGATTAAAATGTGATAATTTATGATAATGCCATGTTTCAGTTCAAAATTTAAATCATTCTCTCCAATACTGTTTCATGCATCAGGTTTGTTTTGAAAGCAGCACATTAGGAGTGGCCAATTCTAATGTGAATTTGAAAACCACCCCAAACAGAACTGATATAATACAGATGAGCTGAATGAGTCCCATATTCTTCACAGTCATCTGCAGAAATAAGAGACTTTCCCCATTATGATGGGAAGCTTTAAGTCTGAAGTGACTGTAAATTATCCTAGGATACTTCATAAAATACATAAAATGTTATATGACAGGAATGATGAAAATTAAATGGACATTCTAACTTGGAAAAAGAACATCCCTATATAATGTATATATAGAGATGTATATTTCACATCAAGAATCAGTGCAAAAGTAACTTCCTATTAATGGTCAACTTGACCAGAAAGTATTATGTTTTCTTTAACTATTTAGTAGCTCTTACTTAGAATGATTTTCATGGCTACTTGCCTTAGAACTGACCAACCTTTGATTCTACACAGGCAATTTTATGTTTTCCAACTTCCTGAGCATGTAAATGGGAATTTTCCTCTGAGTTTCACTCAGATTTCCATTTTTACCCAAGCCCTCTATCCAGAGTTTGAAGATTTTAGTAACTGAGTGGTGAAAGCAGAAAAGGTGAAAGCAGATACCCAGGCAGAAAATGTTCTTTTTTTTGAAATGACAAAATCACATTAAAAATAAATAGCAAAGGGATGATAAGCATTCTGACCACTATTTTCAAGGGACCCACATTCTGACTCCAGTTATACTAAATACCAAATTATATGACTTTGCACAAATTATTTCATTGATTTTCTTCACCTATAAATTAAGGATAAAAATACTCTCCTGACACAATGTTTGCCAATTTGGGAGAATCAAATAATTGGGTCATAGCACTCAAATCATAGTATAAAAATAAGTAGTCAGGCTGCTAAAAGAAATTTGCCAAAAATATTTACATTTTTAAATCCAACTTTTTGTTGTCATTGCTCATGCCTCTATCTTTCTCAATGAGTTGGCATCTCTTGAAAGAAAATTAGCAAAGTCCTTGAGGTGGCCATTCAATTGTCTTACAGATAGAAACAAAAAACATATAATTATCCAGGGTGTTTTCCATTTAGAATGCAAGAGGACTATACTACAGTCTACACACAGTCTAGAAATCAGAATGCTTCCAGATTGTTAAGAAGAAAGGACAAGAACTTCTCTTATGAAGCACTGGTCATGGCAGTAGCCCCAAGGATCCAGGATATTCAAGCTAAAAAATGAAATCCATAATGAATGGGTCTGTTGCGATTGTCTGCTTCCTAACAAGATTTAACTCTGTACTTCTGGCTTATTTCATCAGAAAAGATTATGAAGTTGTATTCTAGTGGCAACTGATGGGAATTTCTTTCCCAAGTTGGGGGGTTATGACTGGGAACATGCTTGCAGTGCATAGAACACTATTACACACTCATGTTCCATTTCTTTATCATCTTCCTCTCTCCACCTAATACCTATCCATCTATCTGTATTTTTCTTTTTAAAGATTTTTTTAAAGATTTATCTATTTATGCATATAAGAGCTGGGGTACAGGCCGGAGATGCGAGGGGTGAGAGGATTCACCAGAGACAGAGCAGGCAACAGAACAGGCAGATTGACAGATATACACTGCTGAGGGGAGCAGCGTGCGAGACAGGAGAGGTCTGCTGTGCCATGTGGGTAGCTCCCTGGCCAGGGATTCAACTCATGTTGCAGAGGCTGTGGATTGCTTCATAATGCAGTGCTTAACCCCTTGCACCACCAGGGAGGCCTCATCTATCTGTATTGTTCAGTTGAAAAAATTTATCTTCACTTTTTAAAACTACAAATTATCATTCATATTCATGTAGGGCCCTGTTTTATGTGTTTCATCTCCACATTCAACCTATAAGTCAGACACATGTAACTGAAAAGTCACAAAATTGTGTTAACAAAGCCTAATAAATAACAGTCAAGCTAATTTTGTTTTTAATGGTTTGTTCTTGTTTCTCCCTCTATTTTTCAAGTGCCCAGGGCCATCTATTTTGACATTCCACTGGAACAGGGAGAAACAAGTATTATTAAAAGGCATCCACCCCGAAGACTTCAAGTAAGATGAATTTAAAAGGCTTCCTAGGAATTTCTTGGACCTAATGGTAACATCCCTTTTTAACTATAATCACAAAAGAGGAATATTGGCAATGACCAGTTAATGAGAATGTTGTTAGAAAGAGTGTTGTCAATTACAAAGACCACATTTCCTTAGGATTTCCTTTTGTAATGATTTTACTTTTATGACCACCTCCAGAAGCAGGTAGTATTAAAGTCACAGACTGATGGGTCTCAAGAGACCTGATTCTTGCATGGATTAGTTGGGCAACTGTGGGGTCATCACTTGTAATAAACAATGACAACTACTCTCTAACTGCCACCTACTGGGTAACTGGATCTATGTCATTCATTTCATCCTCATGCCCCTCTGTGAGAAAGGCCATGTTATTTTTGTTTTATACATGGGAGTCAGAGAATTCTAAGCAATTTGCCCAAGGACAACAAAGGCCAATATTAACCTTCAGCATAGATGATCTCTACAGCCCTTCTATACCTAACTTTTACTGTTCTAAAAGTTAACTGGTTATTGAAATTGAGGACATTGGATGCCAAAGCAGAGAGCTTTAAATACATTCACATTAATAAATGTTTCATGAATTCCTTCTAGAGAACTATAAATTGTAAGAACTCTCATCCTAGGAAGGAAAAGAGGTCTGCATGGGTCCTTGAAAAAAATGAGCATCAGCTAAAAGTATGGTTTTTAGTTCTCTTGTGAGTAGGATCTATCACTGACATTTGAAAAAGCGAATTGGAGCCAAATCCCACCTGCTACACACTTCACCCCGTGGTGTGGACCAATCCCAGGGTATCTGAGCTCATTTGTTGGGGATTATTTCTGTTTCAGTGGGTTTTTATTTACCTGTCTTCTCTAGAAGCTCACAATCATTACTTGAAGTGATTAAATCCTGTGGTCACAAAAAGAGTATCTTTCCCCAAAATATCAGAAACCTCAAAATATGGTTTAAAGAAAAATATAATTCTATTAAATTGAAATGAATTTTTCAGTTTTTCAGCTTATCTTTAGCTAAACTGGATGGTTTTAAAAATGTATGTTTTATTCCTAAATCAACTATATTCTTTCAAAGGAGTATGTTTAGCATATGTTCCTGTGGAGACTCAGCTGAGTAACTTCAGTAGATGGTATTACTATAACCAATGAAAAATATTTGTGTAAAAATCTATAGTTCACAAAGTGCTTTTTATATCTATCAAGGCTGAATAAGCTAAAGTTAGGATCTGATTCTCTAAAATCAATCAAGCTCAAACGGAGTTTTGGTATTTCAGAATCAAAGACTGCAGCAGCACGTCCTAACTGACCACTTTAAAAATGAAGAATCAAGGAAAAATAAATTATTGGAGAGCAAAGAATATTTTCTATTCAGTCTTATATCTTCAGTCACTAACCCCTAATGTGTCCCTCACAAAGATTTGTGAATGAATAAGTGGTGAATGAATGGATGCATGAATGACAATGAGATCCATTACCACTGGTGAGGGGAGAATCACAGTGCACTTCCTACTATTGACCTGTAGCCACATTATATTGGCACTTTAGTTGACTAGTCAAAGTAACCAACATGATTCATTGTATATTGGAAGGTTTTATTGAATCTAAGAGTGGGTAAAGCTTGACCTTGGCAAGAGCTTAGAACCTCAAGCACAGAAGAATTCTTGTGTCTCCCCTAAGCTCTTCTCCAGGCATTTGCTTTATTCTCCCTGAAGATTTATTTTCCCTGCTCCTCAAGACCACAAGGTAAAATTTGGCCACCCTGAATTTGCCTCTTATTATTACAGTCGAATGGGTGGCCTGGCCTGGCCCTCTTGGCTGTAATCCCAAATTCCTGGAGGAAAGATCTTATTGGCCCCTCTTGCTTATGGTTCCAGTTTTGGTCCGATGAGCTATGACCTGGACATGCTCCTGCAGTGGCAATGCGGGCACAGAAGCACCACCGCTACCCCCACTCTAGATTCCGGAGGCAGCTCCCAGAGAAGAGGAAAATTGCTGGGAACTTGGCAGACACTCTCGAAGATATCAACTATAATTATCTTCACAAATGAGGCTCAGCGCATTTTCTACCACAAATGGGTTTTTGAGAGAATAATAAATGCTGGGTTCCCATGACATGCTAATTAATAGCCTAATCTCTGCCAAAAAAAAATTCTAAAAGTATTTTTAATTATTAAACCAAATCTAATTGCATCCTAAATAATTTGAGCAGCATATTTGGCGCGCTCCACTTCCTGAATATCTACTCCTCAAGGAAAGGGCAGGTCAGAAAGTATGGTTCTCTAACTTGGAACTGCTAAGATCTTAGGTTCCCTCTACCAGGGAACTCTTAATGAAATGAGCCTGTCCCGTGTTGGGAAATAAATTCTTATTGTCCCTTCTGGCCTTCTCATCCAAATTGTCTCAGGGCCAGCTTAAGATGGAGTAGTACTTCCCCCAGCCCTTAAATGGTGAGTTCTCAAATGATTTCCTCGGATGACTCCATCATCTCCAAAGATTTACTTAAATCCCGGGCCTCTCCAGTGGCGCAGCGGTTGAGCGCTGGGTTGAGAAGCTGCTGCCCACAGCCTCTGCAGCACTGGTTCGATCCCCGGCTGCTCCCCAGCCACCACCGGAGGAGGGTCTCACACGGCGCGCAGACCTCTCCTGCCGCCCGCTGCTCCCCTCAGCAGTGTACTTCGGTCCTTCTGCCTGCTCTGTTCCCCGCTCTGGCTCTGGTGAATTCTCTCACCCTCCCGCGCTTCTGACTGTACCCAGTGCTTGTATAAATAAATAAATCTTTAAAAAAAAAAAAGAGATTTACTTAAATCTCACCTTTCCTACAGAACCCTATATGTACAACCTGTTGGCAATTGCAACCCTCACCCTGGCATTCTTGATTTTCCTGATGTTTCACTATTTTTCTTTTCCCCAGAGCACTGATTTCCTACCCACCCCACCCCTGTACTAAAAATATAATCTTCAAATAGTAAGTGATTCCTATCTTTTGTCTTCACTAATATATCTAAGTGTATAGAACAGCACCTGGCACACAAATTGGTGATCAACAGGTATATGTTAAATAAATGTTGAATGAATAAGTACAGAAGGAAAAAGATGAGCACCAAGACTGCTGGGGAGACATAAGAGGGTGTTCTGACCTCCATGGCTGTTTTGGTTATTAACTAGTCAAAAATGTATTCCCTTTCCTTGTCTTTTCTACTCCGTTTTCTAGTATCTCCAGTTATCTTTTTCTGTATGGATTTGTGAGAGTTCTCTACATAGCTTAGATACAGTTTTTGGTTAGATATGTCGCAAATATCTTCTCTACACGATGGTTTGCCTTTTCATTTTGCTGATGTGTATGTGTGTGTATGTGTACAGAGATTTCTATTTTTGTTAATGTCAAATTTCTCAATCTTAATCTTTATATATTACTTGTATTTTGCCTAAGAAATGTTTGTCTTCCCCAAGGTCATAAAGATATTCTTTATTTCTTCCTAAAATTTATAATATTTAAGTTTCCACATATAAGTCTTAATCAGAAATTCATTTGTGTGCAGATGTGAAGTTGGAATATACTTTTACTTTCTTTCCATTTGATTAATCAATTGTCCCAGGGCTCTGTGGAACCATTCAGTCTTTCACCATGAATTTGAAATGTTCCTCTGTCATGTAGCCAATTTCCAGAGTTTCATGAGTTTGTTGCTGGACTCTTTTCTGCTGCATTGGTCTATTTGTGTATCTCCACAGGAATTTCACTGTCTTACATACTTTAGTATTTAAGTCTCAATGTGAAAATCCCCTCACCTCCATCTTCTTTTGCAGAGTTGTCTTTGCTGTTTATGATCTTTTCTTTGTCTAAGAAGCTTGGATCATCTTGTTAAGGTCCATGAAAAACCTTTCTAGCCCTCTGACTGCAGAGCATTCACAGAATAATTTGGAACATTGATAGATTCACAGTTGACTCTCCTAAACCATGAACATGGCATAAATCTTCATTTGCCCAGATATTCTTTTAGCTATTTCAATAATGTTTCATAACTTTTCCATTGGTTTGTTTCCAGGTATATACCTGTATCAATCAGGGTTCAACCAGAAAAACAGAACAGGTAGAAGGAGATAGATATAGAGAGTTATTGCAAAGACTTGACCTACATAATTATGAAGGTTGGCAAGGCAAGTCCATAGGGCAGGCCATCAGGAAAGGTAGACTGGAACTGTAGGATATGAACTGAAGCTACCATCCACAAGTGGAATTTCCTTTTCTTCAGGGAAGTTCAACTCTGCTCTCTAGTCTTTTCAATTGATTGAATCAGGGCTGAAGAGAGTATCTAAAATAATCTTCCTGACTTAAAGCCAACTGATTTTACAAAATAATTTCACAGCAACATCTTGATTAGTGTTTGGATAATTGGAGACTGTAGCCTACCCAACTTGACACATAAAACTGATTATCAAAATATCTTACGGGTTTTTTTTTTTTTTTCATCCTTTTATGAATGAGATTTTTTTGCCATTTAATTTTCTAAGTGATTATTATTGGGAAATTAAATAGCTATTGATTTTTGCATGTTGAATTTTGTGTTCCATAGCAGTGTTGAAATGCTTTGGTAATTCTAACTATCTATTAATTTTAGTCTTTCACCACAGACAAAATCTTTTATAAAGAAAAATGCTTTTTTCTCTACTCAATTTTGTTGCTTTGTTTATTTTCTTGACTCTTGCATTGGCTAGAATTTCCTTTGAAATATTGAATACAAGCAATGATATTGGGCACCCTTAATTTAAAGAGGGAGATACTTCTAGAATCTGAAAGAAAAGAGTCAGGTAGAGGAAGCTGCTTTGAGAGCATTAGTGGGATACAACAAACCCAGTGTGACCTTGCAGGGAGGAGGCAACTTGTTGACCTGATTCTCTTTCCTCTCTCAGATTCCTGCCAGGAATTCTTAGTGGCTGACCCAATGCGAAGCCAGAAGTAGGAGAAACTGTTTAGTCCTTAGAGGCAGAGA